GGGGTCGCTCCTCTATTTTTTAGGGCATGTTATATCGTACCTTGAACCTGGGCTCGATCAGATATTTCTTTGTGAGGAAAAACCAGACCCCAATGTGTATTATTGAGTGGTAGGACAGCTGATAATCGTTGAATTTGGTGAAACATTGTTTTTTAAGGGAAAAACTCCTCCAACCAAGAGGAACCGGGTCTTTAAGTGACCCTCGGCAATCTGGGTGAAAATAACTCTTATTTTAGTGATAGCCCTCGCCTGGCCATGATTGGCTGCTGCCACGAGAGTGACGAGGCCGAGAGAGAAGTTCGGATTGTACCACCATTAACTGGTTCTGTACCGCAAACCACCTTTCTGGAGCTTGCTTTGGAATCTGTATGTCTTGCCCGAATGCAGCCTTGAGTTCTTGATTTACTCTGTTCTTCAGGCAAGCCCCATCAACTGGTCGTGGTCGACAGTTCTCAATTTTATTTCCAAGCCAGCTTGCCTTATCGAGTTCTGGTCGGCTGTCCCGTCGACCTCCGTCTCAGACTCTCCGACACTCCACAACCTCTTCCTGCCTCGATTGCTTGGGCTGCTACGTCCGCCCTGAGTATTCCGGAAGTACCAACAAGGCCATCTGACGACGGCGAAGCCGACCAAGCGCGTCGAGACGTCGTCAGGCGACATCTGAACTTGCCCCAGTGGGCGCAACTCAGTCTTATCGGTATAGAGATTCGCGGTCCAAATGTAAGCCTTTCATTTCGTCTGTAGCTTCGCTTTGGCTTGACTGGACAGTTCTATCTCATGGTCACACTTTTAACTGACTAACTCAGCCTCTGACTGATCAGTTTTGTTTCACTTTTTCCTTCCATAGAATCCACATGTACATCTGCACAAGTGAGTTCGCTCTTCACTCTACTATGATCCCATCTGATCTTCCCCCCTCCTCACTTTTCCTTATCCCATGGAGACAAAACAACAGTTGGCCATCATGCCCATGGCAAGATGGTTGCTAGCTTTTCTGCTCACCGCCTCACTCTCGTATAGCTTTGCTTTATATGCGGATCCCAAAAGGCATCTCTTATGTCTAGGTCCTTTAGACGCCGATAGTCCCGTTTTTTGTCATGCTATCGTTCCATGCTCCTTCTTCCTTACCTTTTTACGAATCTTTCCTATTAGATTCATCCGAAATCACCACACCCAAAAATCTCACCTCTAAGTCACTTTTGTACCTAATTAATTTAGGAGGAAAAGCTGGGTTCTTCGACAGTCTTTTGCATAAGAATATAGTCATCCTATGTGGCTAAATGTGGTTTAAGGACTGGTAGTGGAGTTTTTCTAACAATAAGACATGAATAGGCCTCACGATGCCACTGATGTTCCATTATCATAGCCTCCTAGAATGTCTTATAATCCAGTCAGGACTGCAGTTTTGATCTCGCTTCACCAGCTCAGCCCTCCTAATAGTACTCGAAGTCGGGTCGTGTGCATCGTGGTGGCATGTTACCAATTGGTTACATAGCCACAGATATCAATGTGTAACAGGAAAAATTTTGTTTCCGGGGTAAAACAGGCCTTTTTTAAATCAAAAGCATGCAGATATGTATTTGCCAATACAATCAGTGATATTATTTATATTCAGTGTAAGTATGTTTCGAAACTATCGGTATATCCTTAATGAAAGCTAAAAAAATAGTTATATATATTGTAGATATGAATACCAAGTTTTTATAGTGCCATTTTTGGTTGCTGTCTCCTTTCAGTGTATAGAAGTGGTTTGACCTTGTTTTCTCACCTTGATCGTCTTGTCAGGCGGACCTAATTTGACGTACCTTGTCCGAAGTCCTCTGGTATAGTAGTTATGATAACTTCCAGTGTTCGACCGTGGACTTGGGAATGTGCCAAGACACGTCGAATTAGGTCCCCCTGACAACACGACCAATTTGCGGAAACAAGATCAGACCATTGTCTAAAAGTTTGGTCACCCTAGGTGGCATAAAATGATAAGTACTGATAATTAAATTTTCCCATGTTTATCTGAATAGGCCTCCTGTTTTTGTTTAATTTCATTTGAATCTGCCTCACAAATGTTATTCTTATCTAGGATGTATAGTAGTTCCCACCTGTCTATGTAGATTTCCCCACGGGAATTGAGCCTAGATAGCACAGCCTATAAATTTTATGTCACCACTATCTCGTTTTGATACGCATTGGGGTTGCTAACGAAACCAAAGTAAGGTCGAAATTGTAGTACTCCCTAGATGATAACACCTTTTTGTGAGGCAGATTTAAATTAAATTAAATGGAAATGGGAGACCTTACTATGGGAAATTTCATTTATCACTTCTTGTAATTCTATGCGACCTAGCTTCTCGAAATTCACTTTTTATGAATAATCCAACTACTGATCTGATTTGGGAAAGGCATTATTTACCGTGAAAGTCACATATATGCAATGATCAACTGACATTAATTGCATTGTCGAGAAAAGGCAGCATGTTGCTACGATGCGCACTACCCTGTTTTAAATTACCTTGGAGTTGTTGATGAAGCGATGAGGCATGGTTGAAACCGCAGTCCAATATAGGTGAATAACCCTTTTATAAGGTAAGGCTAAAGGAACTTCAGTTGTAGCAGTATGCCTTCCCATAATATTGTGGCAAAAATTGCACTATTACTTCTTGAACTACTTTAAGCTACCTAGGATACCTAAGTTAATATTCAATA